AAAAAAAAAAAAAAAAAAAAAAACCCAAAAAAAAAAAAAACCAAGAGAGTGCCAGCTATTTGGGACAGGAAGCATTACATAGCCAGCCGCGGCTGTGCCAGACAGCGGGAAAGAGGCAGGCGGCTACCAGAGCAGCAAGGCCGCGGGGCCCGGATTGTTTCCCCAAATCTTCCACCCACAGCACGCGCCGGGAAGGAGCGGCTCCCGCCCTGCCCCGCCCCCGGGCTTGGCAGCCGGCTCTGCCGCACCTTCACCAAGCAGGAAGGACCCGGCGCTGCCCGCAGGGAGGAGGGGCAAGAGCCGCCCCGAGGGGACACGACCCCCAGGGGCGCACAGGTCCCTCCCCGCTGCACTTGCGATATCGCCCCCCCCCCCTTGCCGTTACTCAGCAAACGGCTCGACCCGTCCCCTCGCTGGCTGGAGGGCAGAGCGGCCTGCGCAGTGTCGTCAACACTCACCAACCACCAGCAGGCAGGGAAACAAGAACAGCTGCATGACCGCCCACGATACAGCTCAGTCTGCAATGCGGCGCGTCAGCTGATCCGCAGCTGCTATAAAGCCAGCGCGAGCCCGGCCACTGCGCATGCTCCGCGCTCAGGGCGGTGCTGCCCCTCCTCCCGCCGCCGCCAGTGCGCACGCGCCGGGCGCTCGGCCTAGCCTTCGTCCCTTCTGCCTCGGTCAGCGTCGTCTGTGTGCATGTGTAGTGCTCCTGCCCGGCAGTCTCCTGACACTGATTCATCCGGTCCAGGGGCATGCGCGGGTGCCCTAGGACCGTAGCGGGTTGGCTGCTGCTGGGGTGGTTAGGCCTGGAGTCGGGGTTGGGTCCAGGCGCCCTGCAGAAAGCTCCAGCTCTTGGTTTTTTGACTACAGAAAAATACCAGAGCGGTTCTCCTGTGGCAAAGCACTGAAGCAGCGTGCAGCAAGGCAACCTGGTTTAGATGGGCTGGATCAGGGCAAAGATCTGGGTTTGCCTTGTGAACTGTGTTTGCACACCTCGCATTGCTAGCCCAGCTTATTGTACTGTAGCACCCTTGAGTTCAGGGCATGCTGGTTGAGAATCACTGATCAGAGGGGCACAGACCTCTCCATAGGGCTGTGACCTGTTTGAGGTGTGTCCCAAGTTTTCCCGAGTGCAACCTGACTGAAGCAAGAGCTTAGGGGGAGAGACAAGCTATGTCTTCTTATCTGGAAGGGGAGGTGAGGATGTGGCCTCAGGAATAGGGGGAATGCTATGTTCTTAGTGTGACTCTGTCCCTTACAGTGCATTTTGATTTCATAGATTTCATAGACATGAGGGCTGGAAGGGACCTCCGAAGATCATCAAGTCCAGCCCCCTACCCAAAGGGCAGGAAGTCAGCTGGGGTCATAGGATCCCAGCAAGACAAGCATCCAATTTACTTTCGAAGGTGTTCAATGTAGGTGCTTGAACCACTTCCGATGGCAGGCTGTTCCAGACCTTGGGGGCTCAGACAGTAAAGAAATTCTTCCTGATGTCCAGCCTGAAACGGTCTTGCAGTAGTTTATAACTGTTCAACCTCGTCATCCGTTGGGTGCTCCGGTGAACAAACGTTCCCCCAGAAACTGGTGGTCACCCTTGATAAACTTATAGCTGGCCATCAGGTCACCCCTGAGCCTGTGCTTTTCCAGGCTAAAGAGCCCTGTGGCTCTCAGCCTGTTGCTGTAAGGTCTGTTTTCCTGACCTCTGATCATGTGCATGGCTCTTCTGTGGACTCTCTCAAGCTTCTCCACATCCTTTTTGAATTGTGGAGCCCAAAACTGGACACAGTACTCCAGCTGCGGCCTCACCAAGGCCGAGTACAAGGGGAGAATGATGTCCCAGGATTTGCTTAAGAAGCATCTATGGATGCAAGCCAGCGTTTTGGTCGCTTTACCAGCTGCAGCATCACATGGAAGGCTCATGTTCACCTTGTGGTCAATGATGACCCCCAAGCCTCTTTCTTCTGTAGTGCTAGCCAGTGTAGCACTGCCAGGCCTATAAAGATGCTGCAGGTTTTTCCTCCCAAGGTGGAGAACCTTGCATTTTTCAGTGTTAAAAACCATCAGGTTCTCATCTGCCCATTTGCTGAGCCTGTCCAGGTCAGCCTGGATCGCCCTCCTGTCTTTTGGTGTGGATGCTTTGCCCCAAAGTTTGGTGTCATTGGCGAACTTGGCCGGTCCACTTCTGACTCCAATGTCCACATCATTAATGAGGATGTTGAACAATACGGGTCCAAGGACAGAGCTTTGGGGGACCTCACTGGTCACAAGGCACCATAATGATTGTGGTGTACACAGGGCATGGTGCACAATTGCACATGCCCACACTCAAAAATCAATTAAGTGCATATGCACACATACACTACCAACTCAGGCACATACACATTCAAGATTACCAGCCTAGGCACATGCATACCAGCACCAATTCAAGCACATACACACTACACACACCAAAAATTAGACAGCAATCAGTTGTCAATACCCACACACCCAATACACATACGCGGATCACTAATATGTATATCATACACACAATGATATATATATTCACCAGTTCACACACAAACCACCTACATACACACAGGTGAATTCCTAACTTGGATGGTTTGGTTGCAATGCCCATTAAACTAGGGACAAGCCTGCACAAAGCCTGCAGCACCTCAGCAACAGCCACTTTTTCTTCTCAGAGGAAGCGCCTTCTATGAACAGTAGCCTTGGAGCTGACACAACCCAGTCAGAAGGGGTAAAAAGGCATTTGCTGCCTTAGTTTAGGCATGAGGGGCATAAGGACTCCATCAAGTCGTTAATTTCTCACTTGGTTAGCTTTTCTTGTCTAAGCAGGAAGGAAAAAGAAACCCCAGAACCCTAACACAGGCCACCACAAACACGTATGCGCACACAGGCCTGGCTGCGGTTGCCACTGTACCTCCACCTCAACGCTGATCTGTCAGCAACCAGCTGTTGCCTGAAGACCACACCTGCATCTTGCTAACAGCATGGGGACAGAAGGAAAAACTATTATTCTGGAGGCAGAGTATCCATTCATTGATACACAAAGAAATCTTACTAGAATATAAAACACCATCAATAACTGAATAGGCATACCTTTTCCCCTCTAGTCTGAAGTTGAGAAATTAGTGTCAAATCCATATTAGGTAAAAAGAACCAAAAAACAA